CCTCGATGGCAGTAAACTTTGGTGGAGTTGAGCTACGGGGGTGATTTCTGTACCTAGGAAAAGGGATGCGCAGGATAACTGAAAGCTGAACCTTAGGCCTGGTATCTTGATCTTCAGTATAAGCATGTGGAAAGAGTCTAAAAATTACTATAAACAGATCAGAGTTGGCTTCCTATGCCATCAGCCAATGGCAGCTGCCTACAGAGCCGTATAAGAAAAATCCATTAATAAATCAAGATTTTGTTATCCCCTTACAGCTTCCACTAAGGTGTATCTTAGGGACATCCCAAGACAGTAGTGTAACTCAATTTTTAACAGCCCTTGAGAGATTTTTGAGATTTTTTTGCCTCACATCTTTATTGAACTCAGATTTTGGTAAACTGTTGCTTTTATTTAAAACAAAGTCTAAAAATTAAGGACCACCTGAACTCTATTTGGAAAAAAAATCCCTACCGATCCTTTTCACTTTTCTCATTGCTTCCTCCCCACAGGGGTATTTCTTTGGGATGGCTGTAAACAACAGTCAGGAGTATAGCAGTTTTGTGTATTTTGGCTTTTCAAAAGGCTTTGTAGGCAAAAGATCTCAGTGTAGTTCAGGAAACCAGTAGTGGTATTGGCATCATTTGGCTGAAAAGTATTTTCTTTTCAAAAACTACGTATGTTCTCACTTACTCGGTTTGCTTGCTTTCTTAGAAGAAAACGATTCATCATTAAAGGGGAAAATATCCTTCTGTGACTGTGTAAGCAACAGAATCTACCCAGAGAGAATCTTGATTACACACTCAAAGCTCAAGATGAGCAAGTCTTTCTCCACTTTTGGTTACGCAAGACTTCTGCGCTGCTCCTGCCCTGCTGAAATTGTTGAACCTGATGCATGTGCGCTCACCTACTTCAAACAATGGAATGAGTCCAAGCAATTCTTCCACTACAACAGCCAGGTCTCCAGGAAAATACCCAAATAGCAATGCCATGGTCTATCATCTACCCAGAGCTCCACTGCACATGGCTCTGCGTACCAGCTCAGCAATTCCAGCTATGTAAGAACATACGAAAGGATGTGAGGCCTTGAACTTCATACTCCGCCCTTCAGGAGCAGCTGAGACTCCCTCACAGGATGCTATTCTACCTAGGAGAAAGCCTATGGGAATTTCTTTCCTTTGGGCTATCCAGGCAGGACCACAGGAGACAACAGAGCAGGTTAGACAGGGTAGACAGTTGATGAATTACCACACAAACATGAAGGCAGAATTTTGTCACTGCATGAACGTATTATTTATCAAATAATACATTCCTCAGTAACTTATGCTTTTAAGAAACCAGAAGGGAAACAGGGTTCTGGATATTTCCTTTTGACAGACCATATTTCACATTTCGGGCAATAGTCTTGGCCTCTCCGTAATTCTTTCAGCCAAAACATTCAGACCAGCATGCCAAAAACCATACTTAAAAATCCAAATTTAAGGAGCTGAATCAAAGTGTCTTGCTTTTCTCAATTTCTATTCAAAGAGTTGGACCTCTGTTAATAACACAATAGATGAAGATGCCAATATTTGAAATATATTGCATTATACAACTGAGAGGGAAGCTTTTGCAAAGAAAAAAAGACATGAGTGAACAAATCCATAGGGATTACATATGTATTTATCCTTCCCAAGATAATTTAGGTTGCTTTTTATTAAAGCTTCTAAGTACGAGATGTTTGCAACTAGCCATGACATAAGTCTGCCATCAAAAAGGACGAACACTTACCAATAAGGTTAATTCAAAGAAAAGTTATGCTCATCAAAATGGTTTAATCTCTTCTCAGTTTGCCTGTATACGCAGGCATACTAAACTGTCAGCTGCTTTATGGGGAAATAATTCTAAAAGGACGAGTGTTCTTGACAATGTCACCAATGCATGACAGTAAGCGTTTTTTCTTTCAGTAGGAAACATAGAGGTCATTGCTTCATTTGCATGTTAAACTTATACTGTGCCAGAAAGGGTTTTTTTTTAATTTGTTTTAAGAATGCTTTCGGTAGAAAAGTAGAAAAGATCTATTACCATTTTTCTCCAATCTTCGAAGCGTCTTCAACGAATCACAAACTTTTCTTCTGAAGATGAGGCTAGTTTGCATATTTGCATGTAGCAGATGAGGAAACCGGTTTCTGAAATCAAGACTAATTGTATGACAACCTGTACTTGTGGTTTCAGGGTGTAATTCCTTCTACTGGAGCTGGGAAAAGCTCATGAGGAACACCACCACCAGCGAGTGAAGAATTCCCTTTGGGCAGGACTGTACAAGTGGCTGGCGTAACTGAAAGCGGCAGCGCGACATTCTGGACAAGGAAGAATCAAGTCCGCAGCATCACAGGCAAAACGTTGTTATTTGGCGGGGGGGAAGCCTCCATAGTCCCATGATTGAGGACTGCAGCATAACACGAACGTGCAAGAAAAGTGAATATTAAGACATTCTGACTAAACAGGAGTCTCTGAGTTGCAGTTGCATTGCTTCCATGATCACAGGTTTTTATGCGAGCTCTTTCTTAGAAACGTAAAATGACGCGGGAGACGGAGTAAAAGAGCTGCAACACAAAATCTCTAACTTCCACTGAACTATCATCAAAATGGGACACCTGGCCAACTACCAGCAATAGCCCATACCTTGAAATTCAGAAGCAGTAAAGAGATTATTTGGCAGCAACTCGAAGTCTGCAGTAGTGTATTCCTACCTTTCAGGCTTTAATACATAGCTCCTAGGGAACATTTCATCCAGTTGTCTCTACTTCCAACCTCATGAAGCATATTAAACCCTCTTAGAAATAGTTAAAAAAAGCAAGGGAAAGGAAACTTCTTCTATGTTTTATCTGAAGTAGGAAAGGAATTCAATGTTTGTCTTGTATGAGGTCTCTACAAATATTACTGGAGACCAGAATTTCTGCTTCTGCTAGCAGAACCAGCTGGATGCAAACAACCACAGCAAGAACTGGAAATTGGCTTGAAAAGTAATAAGAGCCCAGTCCTACCCATCCTTTCTTTCTTCTACACTGAACTGCACAGGGGAGATACCACCACCACATATGACCACCGGGTTTTTCCCCAGCCCGCCCATTTGTTTTGTACCATACCGTGCATGTGTGGAAAGTCCTGTCAACACTCTTTGTGCTTCTCAATGTGTTTAAACTGTCTTTTTTCTAAGTTCAACTTTCCTTAAACAATACAGCAGCTAAAAAGAAAGTTTTAGCATCTGAGAACTGGAGTGCTGAAGTATGGAAGTTTGTTTATAAAAAAAATAAAAAGAAATTACAAGGTGTTGTGAAGAGAATTTATTTAGTCAACAAAAGGAAACCCAAACAAAACACTGAATTCCTGACAAAACCCACCAAAACCAAGACTGAAGACAAATGCAGGACTGTTCATAACCCTTTTCCCTCTCCTGTCTCTCACAAGTTTTTCAGATTAATAACACCAGTAATAAGCCTTGGCAACAGGGGGCTTTTAGTTTCAGTGTTCAATTTAACTCCATCTCATCACATCTAAAGTGAAAGAGGTGGGACTGAAACGAAAATGCTGCTTTGAAAAAACATAATAACTACAAGTAAAACCAAAGATATTCCAAACTGCACTGTGGACTTGCTTTGGTGCAGCTGGCTGCTGCAGAGGGTACAGCAACTGTTGGTGTGAATTACAAACTACACATGCTGCAGAGACACACCACACACTGCGGGCATGAACTGAAGTTAGAATTTTAATTGTGACCTTTCCCTATTGCCAGAAAGGCACATGGATGTTTGTCACAATTGAAACAGTGTAAGGTTCCTCTGCCCCGGCAGGGGAATGCTGCTTAATACAAACTACAGCCCTTCAGCACACAATGATACGTAGCAGAAAGTCCCTGGAAGCGTTCAGGGTACCATTTTCTAAGGAGTCACCAGTATTGAGGGGCCAATTCTGCCTCTCTTACACAGACCACTCTGTCTGGTCAGCTATTAGTAGGGCAAGCACAACTCACCAGAAGCAAAGAGTGACTGAAGTGGAGCCAAACAGCCTGTGCAGACAGATGAGCACACACAGAGGTACATCTAACTTGCCTGTGTTTAAGCTTTGTACATGTAATGTGCAGGTGGGCATTGGAAAGCTGCACCTGAAATAAACATAGCCCTCAGGGCTACATGGCTTCCACACCTCCATATATAGCACACAGACATACCCTGAGTTTACCAAACAAATAAGCCTTCTTTAAAGCTTCAAGCCAATTTGTTGCTTTTTATTAGAATGGCAAAAATCTCTGTAGGCACTGGCCCCAGGAGTGCTCTGTCCTCTTAAGATCCTTTTCAGCTAAACAGATCTCTAACAGGCAGGGCCACATCAGGCTTTTCTCCCACTCCTGCCACCCCTTTCATTAAAACATTTTTTCTATATAATTTTGCTTTAGAGTCAAACTCCTGCCAGACAGTATCAGTCTGGAAGAAAAACTTCCTGCTTTATTATAAACCTTTGAAAAAGAATTCAAATGGCTGGGCTACAGCAATTTGATATGTTGTATCTTGGCCAGTGGGGTCCCCATTCTCAATCCAAGATTAGCAGACATAACACTTGAAGCTGTGCTGTGTTAAACAGGATCCAAATGCTACTATGTTAAAGACAACTGAAAAACGGGACTACTCAATTTCCTAAATGGGAAGAGCAGACAGTTCATAGTCTTTTTTACATGGCTTTAAATCTTCCCAGTTCACTGAGTACAGACATTGTTCACGTTTCTTGCAAGCAATACGGCAGGCGGGTGTCGGATAAGTGAAACTATGAGTTTAGACAAGTTTGGCATTACTGTCTCTCCTATTGCTACTTGACAACTGTACATAGGTAGAACGGGCTGTGACCACCACTGACAGACAGCGTAAAAGGAACACGGGGCAAAGAAACATGCTGCCCTTGACAGCCTCTGCCCCAAAGCCCAACCAAAATCGAATTTCCAGTTTGTTCTTTCGGCAGCGCAACCTGACTGAGGCACCTGTCCCTACAGCTCTGTGTCAGGTCAGAGCACAGTCCAGGTACTCACAGCTTAAGGGGAATAATGGGCCAGTATTTGGGCTGCTTTTTGTCACAGTTTCTATCAAAAATAAGCTGCATGGCAGCTTCCATTGCCTGGATTTTGGCAGCTTCAGCACCATACAGTTTCTTCATTTCTACCATTCGCCTCTCCCCAGGTCTTTCTGCAGGTGGCTCCACGGAACGCTCTGTCCTTTTGTGAAGGTCTTGATCAGCCTCCACATACTGGTGCTCAGCTTCCAGCTGCTGCTGCCTCCCTAGACAAATAAAGGACAAGAGAAGTAAATTACTGAGCTATCAACCAATCACATTTTAGTTTAGCTTTTTAAATATTACATATTCAAATTTGTGCTGGGTCTAGAAGGACAAGATCCCCACGTTCTAGGGTGCAGCCAACTTCTGCCACTCACAGAACAAATCGCATGTTACTTGTCCTGCTATGCTCATTATGTATAACGACAAATTCCTACTAAATAGCATGATTGAGCCAGGCTGGAAGGAGTGGAGAGAAAGGCAGGAGATCCTGGAATTGAATCCTAAAACTGTAGAAAACCTCTGTATTAGTAACAACAAGTTAAAATCAGCATGGCTTCATTTCTCCCCAACATACACATGCTCTGAAAAGAAAAAACAAACAAACAAAAAAACCCATGACCCCTACACACAAAAAGACGAGTCAAAAGAGTTGGTTTCCAAAGTAATGACTTAGCAGCTGAGTTAAGGAAACAACGCACAGGACAATTCAAATTTAGCTGAGCCATAGCCAAGAGAAAATGTTATCAGTTACTACTCTATGAAAATGAACAAATGGGTCTGTCATGTGTCTGCCATTAAGTGCATCCAATGAAACACAGCTGTAAGTGTTGTGTTTAGGTAAATTAGACAAACCTCATCCATTTCTCAAGATCTGCAAAGTTCAAAACTGACAGCTTTACTGCTATTGCTTTGAAGACAAACCAAAACAGCACGCAACATAAATCCCTGCACCATGTCTTTTAAAAAGGATTTAAAACGGTTCAGAGAGGTCAAACGTTTGGACCAATCTGTCACCAAAAATCCTCTGCAGTAAGCCCAATCGGGAAGCAAGAACTTGATTTTGCATCCCCAAACATGCCTCCACTTCCTGGGTGCTGCTCTGATGGAACAAACAATGCTTTACGCAGTTAAAACAGCAAAGTGCTATACAATACTCCCCTCTGATGGGGACATTTCTACAAGATGAAGAAAATCACCTCGCAGTGGAAATCCTTCACCTACCAAAACCAAACAACGGTTCTCAAAACTGCATCACAAAAACAGTTGACTACTAATGACATAATTTTTTTTTTTTTTCTAAACATCAAAAGGGACAGAGTGTCCACAGGTCAGGATGCATGAGTCACATACAGGACATGGTTCCCAGTGTTCGGTGCCATGTACCTCTTCCGTCCTTCCCCTAAGACAGAGATTTAGCTTCCACAAAACACATGACATCTGCAAACCCTCACCCAAAGTTAAGTATCCTGACATATCTGTGTCAAACATCTGCAGTTTATTTTTACATTGGAAAGTACTGTACAGAGCAGCCAACTGAGTGTCTGTCAGCCTTATGAAATGAATTATCCTCTGTACCTCATTCATAGAAAATAGGCATTTTAAACAGTATAATCAGAAACTTCAATTCTGGCATCTGTTTATCTGACAGAGACACAGAAAGCTTCTGTCCTGTCATTTCAAACACCATTCACAGTTTTGCGTTGGTAGTCGAAGGGCAGGAGTGCTTGAGGGATTATTAGGAATGTATTCCAGAGAGAGGTTTCACTTTGTGATTTTGCTTTAAGGGCACACCCCTGAAGTGGGCTGCACTGCCAAAATTCATGAGGAAACATACATTAGAGTCCATATGTATTTTTGGAAGAGTCAGATTTACTTGGTGTCGGGCCACTTTAACCAGAAGGTCTGAATTAAAAGAACTAACGTTGCCTACAGAGAGCTCAGCGCTATGAGGACAGGCTAAGGTGCTCAGGTCGTGACTACACGGGTCACTCGCATCCCATTGAAACAAACTTCCTGGGACGCCAGACCGCCCACAACTAGGTGACACGCTTTTAAGCATGAACTTCACCCAAATTACAATGAATAGTGTCAGACAGAAAACAAAAATCTATGCTAGAAAAACAATGCTTCCCACTTGTAGGTTACACAGCAAAACTCTGGCACGGCAATGAATCGAACCCGTATTTGTTGACTCTCTTGGGCCACAAAGATAATTCCTTGTACTTCTGTATTGCCCATGGAAATTTTTTATTCATTACTTCCATAGCTGCATGCTAGAGACAGCTGTTTCCTCACTTGTTTGCTGTAGAACGCTCTCTGATAGCTCATTGCACGCAATAACACTTAAGAAAAATTAATTTCTCTGGAGATAGATAATGAATTCTTCTGTTTGGAAATTAAATGGGTCTCTAGCAGAAGCTTTATGATGGATGAGTGGATTACAGTTTCGTGTGCATCAATCTCCATTTTGTAGGACAGAGGAGTTCATAAACCTGCAGATCCTAATGTTAACAATCAAAATAATAATACCAATTCAAATTCCATTCTCAAAATTACCTAACGAACGTCTGGAGTATATGTTTTACTTTACACTAATCAGATGTACAGCCCTTAACTTTTTAACCTGACTTTTACTATTCCATAGCTACTGGTTAAAAATTTCCAGAGTGACAGCCTCAGACATGTAGATGAGCTTTACAGAGCCCAGGCAGAGGCTGGGGACAGAACTTCTACAGGGACCCATAGTTTTTTGTACCAAAGGCTGAATTTGAGCATAAAACATGGCAGCTGTTGCTGGTAATACCACTGTAGTTGTGTGGAATATCCTGCAGTTTCAAACCAGTTATTTGTGGAGAGGTACTACCATGACAAACTCCACTGTCAGAGACGGCACTATTTGCTGTCCTGAACAATCAAGGAAAGAGAAGCCGTGGAAATAAATGGGTATGTAAACTACTACATTTCCAAAAGCAGTATTTCCAGCCAAACACAGAGGTAAGAAATACGTGACAGCAGAGAAAATTTTGTCCTGTTGAGATGCACACTAAACTTTCTTTGGTGGGGCAGGGGCTGGAAAGTAGAACTGCTGTTATTTCCAGCAGTCTGCAGTCTTTCCATTACCTCAAAATTTATTTTAAAAACAACACAAAGCAATGCAATTTGAGATAAATGTGCAACTACCTCTTCATCAAAAAGATGACAACAAGCATCTGACAATGGAAAAAACAAACAAAATGATAAGCTGTCTATAGCCCTAAACCTATACAGGCAGAATTTCTCTGAAGCAAGCACCAAATAATTCATCCACGAATTAGGTAGCAAGGTTTACCAAAACACTAATTCTCAGCCTGCAGCAATGAAGTCCCCAGCTCATTCTCAAATTAGAATTTTACACCCAAAATTTGTAAGTCATTGCGCTGCCAAGTTATAAATGTGAAGCAAATAATTTTTTACACAACTCTAAGTAGTTTCTCCTTCCACTTCACACAGACTAAAATAAATGTGCTTTCTTCTACAGCATTCAGCTTCAACTACTGGCAAGCTTCCTCCAATCGTGGAATAGTATTTTGCAGATGTTCACAAGGCAGGCAGGCAGGCAGCTGCAGTGGTGGTTGGTTCCTGCACAGAGGAAAAGCATTGCTGACATTGTCCTAACTGGTCAGTTCCATTTCTTCCCAAAGATGCTCTTCCTCTCTTGAAGCTCTTTACAGAATTAATTTATTCCTACAAAGTCCAGTTCTGCTGGGAAGTCATCACTACCTGGCTAAAACCAGTTGAAACATCTTTTTTCTAAATACAGTAAACAGCCCTTTTTCTTCATGTTTCAGGAAAACTGAGATCTCTACCTAAGTCAGACTGCATCCTGTGACATCTTCAGTGATTTTCACCTTTTGAAAGTTTTAGGTTGCTGTTTTTTCCTCCCCCCTCCCCTTCCCACCTTTTATGGATGATTTTTAATCCGTGGTATACTAGCTGAAAAGTGAACAAACATAGACAACTACCTCCATCCTCAGAGACTGCCAAAAGCAGGATAAACAGTAAATGGTGTCTTAGCTATTCACTGTATTTGGGGCTTCGTATGCACACAAACACCCTCTTACATACTTTCAGCAAAACTATGAACTAAGCCCTTCAAGATGTAAGCTATTTTCCCCATAGGCCCTTAAAAACTCAGATGTCTTGCTTCTTATTTTATAAAAAGGAGAACGTCATATACTTTCTGTAAGTTTGATGGACTTTGCTCCTCCTTCTTTGTAATATCCATCGGGAAGCTTAAGTAGTAATAAAAAAAACAAATTCCTCTCTGGAATTCATCCTTTTCTTATTAAAAGAAAAAAAAAAAAAAGAAAAAAGAACAACCCCAAAACCAAAACCTAAATAAATTCCCTTATTTGGAGAAAAGTCTTCATGGAGAGACTTTCAACATTAAAAGGAGAGAAAAGTAGGGAAGGTAATTATCTATGTTGGATTTTTAATGATTTCAGACTGACCTATACCCCTGTTCACATATTTGTCTGCTTATTTCAAATGACAAATGATTTTCTGTTACTGCTGCATGTGCACTTTCTGAGCTTTCTCATCTTGTTTTAAATGCTACCTGAGCTGATATGGAGCAGCCCACACCAACAGAGTTAAAAGCACTACCCGTTTCTACTGATTAAAAACTCCTAGTTCTCTCTTTGAATGCCACTTCCCACAAGCCTATCTGCTGTGTTAAATATTCTGCCCACACAGGCTTCTCAATGTAAAATGCCAGCTTCTTCATCTCCCTAGAAAAGCTAAGTACCTTTACCATAAACTGACATATGAGTTTTTCTGAAGTGATAGCATCAGACCATTTTATTGTGCCCGTACTTCCATGAACCAGGCACATAATGGGGTAAACCAAAATCTTTGCCTAAAGGAATTCCAACAAAATAAGGATTTAAATCTGAGGATTTGTAAACAGGATATTCAAGGAGTTTAATTTCTACAGAGCTCTGGATTTCCAGAGGGCCAACATCTCAAGCATTACTCTTTTGCAAGTGTAAAGCTTTCCAGGACAGGAGTTTCCATCAGTGGGAGCCTGAGATGCAAACAATTGTGACTTACCCCTACATCTGTAAATGTAAAATATTCCAGGTTGCCGAAAACAGCACAGTCTCACTTGCTGGAGGGTTACTCTGGAACACTAAGCAACTTAGAAAAATTGTGGAAATGTACTGAAAGAAGAAAGTGATGA